AGTGCTTCAAATGCCACATGCCACACAGCAACCCCACCTGACAGGTGCTATTATTAGCCTCATTTTACAAATGAGGAACCAGAAGACAGTCAGGTTAATAACTTACTTCAAGTAACAGAGCTAGTATTCTGACTCAAGGTCACCTTGGGCCTTATTAGTATTTGTCCAAGAGCCCTCTATAGACACTGTTTTGAGATAGGATCTTCCTAAGTAGACCAAGCTGGCCTGGACCTCACAGAGATCTGCCTGCCTCTGCCATTGCCTCCTGAGTAGTGGGATTAAAGGAGTGCAACACCACTTCCACAAGCACAATGTTTAATGACACATGAAAATGGTATGAAATCAAATTTCATGACCCACATAGTTCTATTGGCTAACAGCCACATCCATTCATTTACCTAGTGTCTCTGGCTGCTCTGCAGTGGTGATCTTGTTGAATATTGTCGACAGAGACCATGTGGCCTCTAAAGCCTTGGGGATTTACTGTGTGGCCCTTTGTAGAGTGAGCCTGGTCTAGTCTACCCTGCCAACTGATAGAAGAGTCCTCTGAGGCTCCCCCTCTTTTGACCTCTACCTTTCACCAAGAGTGGGCAGGGGAGCTCATAATGAACAAGGCAACTGGCCAGTCTCTGACAGGTCCAGGGTTGGCTGCCTACCTGGGCACTGACTTCCTCTTGTAACACTATGCTGCCTCTCTGTGCCATGTAGCCCTAACCCGTACCCATTCCCACCATGTTTCAGCTGCTGTTCCCCAGTCCTTTGGAAAAGGGAGGGGTGGGGGCGCCTCTGTTTCATCACAGATGGTGATAGGAGCTAAGTCTGCTGTAGTCAATAGCAGATGGACTGAGAACACCTCTCCTGACCCAGCCCAATATCTACAACATGGTCTACTCTGTGGGTTTCCAGCCTATCTGCCCTGGAACCTCAGGACCCTGGATGCTGGTCATTTACATCTGTGTCCTGTCTATGGGCGTCTGGGTATACTTTGGGAATTCAAGGACAGCTCTAAACTGTATGTGTGTGTGCATGTGCGTGAATGCTTTTAAGGACACAAGTGTTCTCTGGAGCCCAAGCTGCCCTCAAACTCATGGCAACTGGCTTGTCTCAGTCTCTTAAGTACTGGGATTACAAGTATATACTAATAAACCAGGTTCAGCTCTTTATCTTCATAGGCTTGGACTCAGGCCGAGTTCCAGTGTCCTAACACCCAGAGACTGGTCCCCAGGAACTGCCCATATTCAGTGGTGGCATTTAAAGTTGGCTTTTAAGCATCAGTTGACAGTCAGAAATGGATTGGGAGTCTGTCAGAGTAAGACCTATCCTTGGGACACACCTAGTAACATTTGAAAGAGGAGGCTGTGCTACCACCTGATATAAGTGACTGGATCCTCTGGGCCACAGGGTACTGCCCTTGTAAAGCTCTCCTAGAGAGTGACTTGGAAGTGTGTAGAAACTCATTAGCATGCTCTTATCTGTGGCAGATTAATAACAAAGATTAATCTTACAGGATTCAGCTACTATAAATTCAAAATTGGACCTGAGTAGTGTGCTAAGGGACAGGAAAGAACACTGGGGCTTAGGTGTGACCCTGAGTAGCTGATGTTCTCTCCCTCCTGTTATGTCTCAAACCTGGGACAAATAGCTGAGGTGCCTATTTAACATATCAAAGAAGACCTGGTCGCCAGGTTCTCTCAGCACCCCTCAGTCCCTACCTGTTACAGGGTCCTCCAGGTTGACACCCCAAACCCCTACCCTAAATTTCTCTAGCCCAAGTATTGTAGACTTCCCTCCCTCCAGCTGCCTTCCCTATATAATCTAACCATCTTGGTTACCTGGTCTTTTTTCACCTACCCTTTACCTTCCTGGCCTCTTGGTTTGGTTCTGCCCTCTCCCCTCCCTCACTCCTTTCATAGTTCAGCTCAGTCTAGTCATGTTCATTCTGGAGTCTTGCAGAGGTCTCTGCCTCTGGCTATGCTCTCCCTTTTATCGACAATAAACTTTCTCCTCCACTATGCCTAAGAGCAGTCAAATCCTTCATCCCGCTGCCCTTTTTTTTTCTCACTCACCTCCTGCTGGGTCTTGAGGCACCAGGAAATGAAGGGATAGCTCCTGATCTCAAGTCAAGCCTAGCTGAGGACAGACTTGCAGGATAGTGGTACATCAGTGTGATGGAAGTGGAACCAGGACATAACAGTGAGATAACAGGAGCTGATGTTTTCCACACCTCTCAGTGTGCAGTCTCTCTGTGACAGACTGGCTTTCTTACAACCACTCTCAAGCAAGAGAGTTCAAGTTTACAAACTGAAGTTCCCAGAAAAAGCCACACCTCTGTTAAAGATCAATGAAGGCTGACTGAAGATAATCTTTGTGATTGTGGGGAGTTGAATGGTGCAGACTTTGAGATAAATTACTTTGCTTTAGAGCCTTTAGTAACCACTTATTGCTCGTCTCTGTCTGACCTAACATTTCTGTTCCTACCAGGTAATGCCTTTTAGAGTAAGTTAATAGAAAGCTAGTGTTCGCCAACCCAAGAGCTAGGAATGCCATCAGCTAGCACTTGAGACATACAGCGTACATTTTCATGCTTTGCTGGAATCTGATTGCTTGATTTATGGCTTTTGTTCTGCAGCTACAAAAACATCATGAAACCATTTCCACACTGGAACACACTATTTGGGGTGATGTGATTCTGTGTTCCTGGGTTACAGCAATTCATATCCAGCTCAGAGATTAACTATCTCAGATTTCCCCTGAGGTGAGAGCTGTTTTGTGCCTACAGGAAGCCGAGTGATGCGAGAATGAAAGGGCAGAGCTTGGATCAGGAGTTACAAAAGGTGTCAGGAGAGGAGGTGATGGTGCCCAGTGCTCCATGGAATGAGCCCAGCTCCTTGAAGAAGCGGACACTCCAGGCAGTTTGACCAGAAAGTACAACGGTGTATGTGGTGTGAGGCTAGTGACACTGGGCCCTGATTAGCAGCAGACCTCAGAAAACACCATTTTACTCCTGCAGCAAAGAGGGGCCTGGGATACAGGAACAGAAGCCGCTAAAACCTGGCCACCAATCATCACAGCTGGCCAGGCCCATTTGAACAGGTGCCAGGTCTTCGCTACTGGGAAGCTGATAGGGGAGCACTGCTTGAGTCTACAAGTTCCAGGCCAACCTGGTCAACCCTGAGAGACCCTGTCTCAAAAACATACAGATGCTCAATCTCCAGGGCTCTGTCTCTACACACGAAAGAGTATGGAACACGATATTTGGTTGTTGCTCAAGGAAGATATATCTATGCAGTCCAGGCTAGACTTGAACTCAAAATCTTCCTCCTTCAGCTTCCTGAGTGCTGGGATTATAGGCATGCCCCATCACACCTGCCTCTTCAGTAGCCCTGGAAGGCTTATTTCAGTTTTGCTGTCAATTCACTGGGTTTTGGGTGTGTCTCAGTATTTCTCACCTTTGTCTGTACAACTTAATCCTTTCCCCTCCAGCACAGGAAAGGGATGGGACTTAGCAAACTGGTGTTTCTGTTTTGAAACAGGGCCTTACTCTGCAGCTCACGTTGTCCTTCAACTCATTTTGAAGTCCAGCTAGCCTGGGACTTTGTGGCAATCCTCTGGTTTTAGTCTCCCGGAGTGCTAGGATTACAGACATGAGCAACTGCTTCTGGTGGGAGGTTTCAAAACTTATGGTCTCCCAGCCAATTGCAAAGAGCACTATTTAGGGTCCAGCCTATTCTGATATGAACCCCAAGGCAGAGAGGGTCCAGCAGTGAGATTTAGTCAGTGCTCTGAGGTACTGATGTAACAGCACTTTGTGTGTCCAGAAGTATTTCTTGCCCAAGACAGGAAATCTTTCAGGAGGACGACATGCTGAGCTTTGAACACCTGATGGGCACCTGGCGCTCCAATGAGCTTATCCAGAAAGTCTCAGGATTTTGTGGCTGCCTCTGAAGGCCAAGCTAATTTGCCTGTTTTTACAAAGGAAGTCTGTGATGAGGGCTGCCTTCTTTTTCCAGGTCTCAAAACAAGAACTTACAGAGGGGCTTTTGTGAAGCACTGAGGCTTCAGGCGCTAGAGGTCTTCTTGCAGAGAACTGATGTGAACCTCAAAAGAGCCACTAACAGCTGCAGTGGTGGTTACAACTCCTAGCTGGGCTAACGACTCCGGGGAAGCCTTGGCTTCCAGATCCAGCCTCCCCAGTCCGGACGCAAGGCGAAATGCCATCAAAAATAATGTCACAATGCTGTCGTGACCCTTCAGGCAAGAGGGGTTTACACTCAGACCAACCATCCCTGGGGAAATGTCTCTGCTTGGCCTTCGCCCCATTAGGTGCTGGGATCCGGCACCTTCTCATGTTCTCCAGCCCCACTAGGCGGTGTCGCGGTGACAATGACAGGCGTTAACCATCCTCGGTGCCTCGCGCTTATTAATGCATTTAATGATCAACAAGCTCAGGAAGGCCGGGCCACGGTCCCTTAACTACGGTCCAGAAACATCAAGAGGGCGACGTCACATAAACCCAGTCTTCCGACTGCGGGGACAGAGGCGCAGCCGAGCCCAGGCAGCCCAGCGTCCTGGAATGTGAAGAGCCGGCGACGCGGCGAATGACCCGAGCGCGGCTAGCACGGAAGGGGCCCTCAGCCTGCGCGAGGCCGGCGGTGGCGCGGCCCAACGCCCCGCTCACCACAGCAGTCCCTTTAACCCAAACTTTCTCCCTCTACTCGGGACCCCAGAATGCACCATTGGCTGAGCCACATCCAACTGGCCCCACCTTCTCCCCCTGGCTATTGGTTTCCTCAAGCATCAATCCCCACATGAGACTTCCGATTGGCTCGTGCTCTTGTCAATCAGATGAGGATCCCAGGAGGGGCGGAGCCAAGCGCGCCGCGCCAGCCTCGCCGCCAAGCCTCCCTCCTTCCATCCCTGCCTGCGGACTCCGACAGGTCTCAGGGCCTAGACCTGAGCGGCTCCCAGGGGCGGAGCTGCGCGCGGCTCCCCGGACTCACCGATGCGCTGTCCCACCGGAGAGCTGAACGGGTTTCCCAGGAGAAAGTCCATTGCCGCGGCTACCGCTGCCACCAGCCACCAGAATCAGGTGACAGCAACCGCCGGCGCCGCCGACCCGTCACGTGACCCGCTGGCCGGCCCGCGGGGAGGTGCGGGCAGGGCGGGGGCTCTGGAGAGCGGCCACGAGGCCCCGCCCTCGACGGGCCTGCCCTCGGCGGGGGCTGACGCGACACCAGGGCGGGGTCCGGGAGCCCCGGCTCCTAAGCCACGCCCCGAAAAGCTTGAGCGCGCCGCTGTGGAGCTCAAGTCTGCCCGTCCGGAAACTGGGTCTCTGCCCGGGAAAGACTTGGGTCGGCTTACGCAAGCCTAGGATGGTATTAGTGTGGTCGCCCTTAGTCCTGGGAACCTAGCCCTGAGGGTGACAGCCTCCTTGCCTCTGTTGGACTCGAAATTTCTACTTGGTGTCTCCCTGCTCCAAGAGCCACCCTGCTCGTAGCCCAGAGGAGGCAAGGGCCTGGGTTTGTGCTTGCCTGAGACAGAGAATGAACTCCGCCCAGGAGTGGTAAGCGCCTTTACCTGGCAAACCACCTTACATCACGTTTGTTCTTACTTGGCAGATGGGAAAAGAGCTTTTTTCTGCATCTCTTCCCCTCATCTTTAAAGGGGGACAATTATCCATAATGCTTTCAATTGAAATGACATGCAAATCACTTAATAGGCATTCTGTGCATGAGGATGGCTTCTTCCTTTCTATATCTTTATAAGACATTATGTTTTAAATTTTAATTACATTTCTCTTTTACTCTGTGTATGTCATGGTGCATACAGAGGCCAGACCATAACTTCCGGGAATCTCACCATGCTTCATCTCTGATAGTAAACAAGTACCTGTGAGCCATCTCATTCCTCACTCTTCTCCATTTTTGGCAATGCTGGGGTTCACACCTAGGACCTTGTCATACTAAGTCAGTGCTCTGCAGCCCTTCTTTTTCTTTTTTTGGCACAATCACCTGAGGCTGGTCTCAGATCTCTTGGGTGTTGGAGTTACAGTTGTACACCATAACACCCAGCCTTTAATATGTCTTCTTTTGTTACTTACAATTTTTAACATTTTGTACTTCCATTAATTTTTTTTTAACAATGAAAGGTCAAATTTCTATATATTCAATGTTCACCGACAAAGATTGATGGGTACTTCTTGATTTGGGCAATACCATAATGTACATGGTTTCATTTGCCAAGCATTAGAGGCACAACTAGGAGATTCTCTAGTTTTACACTATGCAAACGATGAGAGCTTTTACATATAAAGTGTGTTCAATCTGAGACCTAAGGGCTGCATGGCCCAGCATAGGCAGGAACATGGAAACTTGACCTTTCTTTAGGTTTTGGTTTTATGACATTTAAATTTTAATTGTGTGTGTATGTGTGCCTCTGTGTGGGTACATGCACTTCTGTGCTGATGTGTGTGTGTGTGTGTGTGT